TCATACCATTGCTCGGTCGACTGAACTAATAATTCTTTTGTATACTTCTAATTACCCATGATTACATGTGGGGATTTGTTTTACACCAGATGTACAAAGAAACAGCTTAACTGATGCATGTAATATTATGTGAATGTAATACTTTTAATACATTATTAATTGTGTTATTAGATAAATTCATGTGACTGTGGGGTGTTTATGGTAAACAAGCCTGTATTGTTTAAATAGATATTTTGTCTTGATTTATTATAAACTTTAATATTGATTTTATTGTAGTGAGCAAGCTGACAATAACAACTCTTTGTATATTACTGCTTTTAATAATATTTAATTATATTGATATTATGGGTGTGGATTTATTTCCTAATGGTAATAAATGTACTAAAGGATTCTCTGACTATAGTTATTCTTAACTAGGTATGAGATACAGTATAAAATTAGTACTAAATGACAAGTATGAGTTATGTATTTTACTCATATTTAGAAAGGAAGTTGTCCTGGCGATAAGATTTGTATGTGTGTTGTTTGTTCATGTTATATTGACTAGACAAGTTCAGACAGGGTTAAAATTAGTGAATCTTTATTGGATTTATATTTAATAGACATATTTTGAATATTTATGGGAATAGAATGGAGATATACAAGTAGTAAAATATAATATTAGTATTTTATAAATTTCATTATTGAGTTATATGTTTATGTCGGACTGTATCCAAGGAGATATTATCCTATTAATATCAAGTTAGGACAATTACTTTAAATATTAATAAAGCAAACACTAACACTGATTATTCACTTCTTTAATAAATTTACATTAGAGGTTAGGAATCAAATAGATAGCATATTGGGAAATCTTCACCACACATGTATTTGAGGAATGTTCTTGATAATTAGTACTGTATGTATATATTATTGCAAGTACAATTGCAATAAGAATGTTAAACTTCTAATCTTCTGTTCATTCTTGAATTTGAAAGTAAGCTTGGCTACTGATATGAATATAAAACTGCAGCATTACTGGATACTATTAATTATTTCTGGTGTAAACCATGATTATTTATGTCACTGATAATTTAGTTGTATATTACGGTTGATATATGATGATTTTATATTTAGTTATATTAAACAAATACAAATAAACAAACTTGCTAGTATTTGTTACGTTGACAGTTGTGATAGATAATCAAAATTCAATTCAATACATCAATACGTCATTCAATACGTCATTAATGTGACAGATGTCAAACAAAAGGAGATTATACACGTTATGATTCTATATCTAAGTCTATAGAAAATTTATATAATTTTCTGTTATTTTATAATAACTGTAGGGGAAATATTGGAATTATTTATATGAGAAATTTCACTTAAATGATATGATAATTATTTAAAGACCTAATTTCTTAGGGATTTAATCATGATGATTTAAACACTAAAACACTTGTTTATCTGAGAAATCCTCTTAGTAAATAGGTTTACTAAGACACCAAAAGGAAGTAGATATAGTATAACTATAGTACAGCTACAATAATTGTATGGGACTTACTGTCCTTTCTATACAAATATATATTTAATCTATATCTTTCACATTATAATTATGCAATATATTGCCTCTACTACTACAACAAACACAAATAGGACTTATTGTCCTTCCTATATACCTATATATTATATAATAATTGACCTGGCACTTTAATGTGTAATTTATCAGTACTTATGGCAACAACCAATTAGGACTTATAGTCCTCTCTATAAAGCTACATAATTATTTAATCTGATTATTTCACAATGTGATTAATCAAACCTCTACAAATATTACAAAAGATCTCTATTACTCTCAACACAATAATAGCTTGTTGGACTTAGTGTCCTCAAACTTATAGAAAACCCAACTGGTTATTTCACGAGACGTTGTTAACTTGTGATTAATCAGTGTCTTTTAAAGGACTTATAGTTCCTTTAGATATATCTCTCTGAATAAATAATTGGTTAATTCACAATGTGGTTAATCAACAATAATATTATATATAATTGACTGGACTTATAGTTCATTCAATAGCACTCATTACTTTTAGTAGCTCTCGACCTATGGGTTGGATTACTCGTTCTTAGGCTCCGGCCTAATCAACAGAGTTAACTTGAACCTTGAGTATTCTTGGTATTAAGTAAATAATATTAAATTGACAATGCTATGTTATGATATAGCAATTATCAACATTATATGGCTTGGCCAATTCCAGGGTGTGGAAGGTATCCCCTATCACACAAATCTTCATCTCTATCGGACTGTCTTCACAGGTGATCTCTAATGTCACATTATAGGGCCGAAGGGTTATGTCCCAACAAAGTAGGTTCTGGTGTCTGGGTGATCTCGCTTCTTGGTCTGATCTCTTGTGGAGCCGAAGGGAAACCCCCATTGAGTAAGCTCGTAACAGGGTGACGCTGGGAAACAGTTTCGTACTGTTAGTGGGTGATCTCTATGTCGCCATATAGGACTGAAAGGGTCATCGCCCATGAGTAAGCTCTCGTGTCGGAGTGATCCTGGGATTTCAGTTCCGATCTGTTTGCCTCTGGCAAACACTAATTTATACTGGAAGCATCGTGGGGCTGGTGGAGCCACTGTAATGTTGAATTAAATGTACTTATGTTTGGTTTGGAACTGAGAATACTCATTCCCTTATTACCATCAGAGTGCATTAATAAATAGTAATACCCTTCCCTACCTTTTAGGAGGAAGAGTTATAGATAGTTGGAAAGTCTTCCACTGGTCCGGGCGTGTGAGGGGCCCGACCGCTCCCCCATTTTTTTATTATTACAGTTATTCTGTAATTTACTATTAAATTAACATAACTTCCACTTACATGAATTATGAGTATAATTCATTAATCATTCTTAATCCTTAAATATTTATCAATCATCTTCATTATTTAACTCCTATCATATACCAATTAAAGAACCTTTTGGTTATTACACACACAACGGGTCCTACATTACTAGACGATCACACATTTATTTATCTGGCCAGATGATCAAGTGTTCTACTAAAGATCTGTTCAATATTATGTTTTATTTTAAGGGTTTATATGATTCATAGGATATTTGGGGTGTATAAGGCAATATAGGTATGGGGTTATATTGAGGGTGTTAGGCCATTCTTTAGGGTGAATTTTCATTAGATTTTCATAGATTTCATTAGGTTAAGCCTTCGTAGGCTTTTCTTAGGCTTTGTAGCTTTTCCATGTGTAGCTTAGTTTAGAGGGTAGTTATTATAAGGGGTGCAAAGGGGGGGGACCATCACAAGTTAGCCTATCGTAATGAACACACCTGGACTTCAACATTATGGTTTCCAAAGGGGGCCACGTGGAGGTCGACCTGACAATGTGTATTGCTAGCAATCTGGTCCGCATTACTAACAATCTCTTCCCCCATACGGACTGATCGTGTCGGGCTCCCTATAACTATATTATTATTGTTCAACTAAACAGTAGATTTTATCTATATGAAGTTTGTGATATTCATTATATCCGTTCCAGTATTTTTATTTTTTATATAAATCAACTTTTATTTGAAAAAAAAAACAACAGTTGAATTAATTACCCGCTCTTCTCAGCTAAAATTGCATTCCAAACTGCCGTGGAACAAAAAGGCTTTTCAAGAATGCTTATAATTTACTTGAATAAAAGTTATTTATATTTCATTTTTTTATATTAAGGTCTAAAATATTCATATACTTTATAACAGACATTATTTGAGCAAGTACATTATCTCTGCATACGTAGCTCATCTCATGAAGCACATAATCTGTATTCTCTAAAAGCCCTGCTTAGACGAAGAATATTTTTGTGTGCTTAAGTACACAAAATGACAAACTCCCCTTTGTATTAGTTGCACACTTTGTTGTTCAAGTGTGCGTTGTGGCGTACAATTGTATTATTATAATGGGCAAAAACCTACGACGTGGATTATCTTTTATCTGCGCCGGTCTTAAGAGATAGATAGATAGATACTCTTTATTGTTTCCTCCAAAAGATTACAATAGTAAACTTACTATAAATATAAATAATTACAAGAAATAATCACAATGAGAAAACAATGGGCGACCTTATCGCTAAGAGCGATCTCTTCCAGGCAACCTTTGTATGGAGAGGAGTAATTATAAACAATTTGGTGGGAGGCACGATGAAAAATTTTGTTAGTTCTAAATATGGGAGATGTGATACATATAATAATATAAATATTATCCCTACATACTATTCCATATCGAAGTGTTCTAACATCAGAATTATCTGTCAATTTTCAAAAACAAACCTATCCATCAATGTTTATCTCACGAATACTCAGGTTACAGAATAAGTTTAATTTAAGTCTTAATGTCAAGGTTTTACCAAGAGACTACAGCATATGGTTCTTTAAAAAAGGGGTAAAGAGGTTTCTTCAGGATCGGCAATGCGCGCGTATTGCTCTTGGTGTTGCAGGAGTTTATAGGCTACGGTATCTGGTTACTATCAGATGGGCCGTATGCTTGTTTGCTACCTCAGTGCTAAGTGATAAAAAAATTCTTATTGATTATTTTAATAACAAACTAAAATGACAATTGCGCATGAAGATTTTTGTTACGCTAAGTCTGTCAGAGTTACTTTCGCATTTGAATTGTTAGTTAGGAAGTGAGGATTCTTCATTTTTAAATATTATCAGATAATAAAAAATATTGAAGATATTGGCACACTTCAATATAGATGTCCTTTAGAGCTTGCAATAGTTTGCAAAATGGTTACAACTGTGTCCTCACGGGAGCATTATATATTTATTTATTTGTTATAAGTTACAAGAACAGTTTTGCAAACAGAAATGAACCATTAAAAAGAAAACAATACAAAAAATTTATCAATACGCAGTTTGCCAACCTTACATTGTAAACATCATTTAACACTAAGTTATAAGTAAACGTTATCGCTTGAATGGATATATCAGCAATACTGTTTTGTTCTGGAATGTTCCAGCGACATCTGTGTACTACAGCCGAGGGTTCGGCGGATGGGTGTCAGCTAGATCGAGGTCGTCTAAAGCCTGGGGCGCCCCGTGGAGAGTACTAGGTCCTTCGCCGTGCGCGGCGGTACCACTCACCCTGTTGTGGGCGGCAGCTATAGCGGCCCATATAGCTATGTTAGCCTTTTGTATTAGATCCTTGCTGAATATTGGGTGAGTACAACTAACGATAATGTTAACTATAATTTATTATTTAATAAGTAAATATGATTACGACCACGATCCCTAATAGGGTAGGCATTTGTCGACTCTTCTGTTATGGTAAATGTAACTCTTGATTGATCCTGCGATGATGGAGAACAATGATCATAAACAGATTTATCTGAGTGATAGCAGAAGGCTCGCTGCTGTCACGTTGGTTTCTAACAACAATTTGGTCGGCGAAATGTAGATATTTTGAGTGTTTTTTGTTTTCTATTCCTAGTACATTTGGTAAAGAATCTTAAAGCGTTCTTAATTTAAAATTTATTATCGTCCCTCCTAAAACATCACCAAAGCCTAACTGCGATTGCCAAACTGCCTATCAAGCGTAGCCACTATTGGCAAAACTACTCAAGGCTATGTTCAGCACTTATATATATATATATATATATATATATATATATATATATATATATATATATATATATATATATATATATATATATATATATATATATATATTCTTTATTATTATTATTATATTATATTTATTGTTATGAGCACGGGTGGACTTATCTCTGACAGAGATCTCTTCCAGTCAACCTTCACCTTATACCTTCACGCAGGCTAAGCTGTAAATAATATATTACATAATATATCTTGTTTCTACCAGGTGTGGAAGTACGACCTGCATCGGGGTGGCGGGCGCCCAGCTCTCAGTGTCGGTGACAACTTTAGCAGCAGCAGTGTTTATGCTGCAGCTAGATTTGCGATACGACGCCTCGCTGTCACCACCACCGAGGCAGTCCGACGCTCACATATGTACAGCTGTATCCATGGTACGTATCTTTTTCATCATCATCATCATCATCATTTTATGATACTTAGAATAGTACAAGGTGAACGCGTGGTGAATAACATAACAGGCATTTCCCCTCATCAAGAAAAATGTATTCTTTACAGTAGGATATTAATAGCTTGTTATGTTGTGGTAAAGGTGTTCCTTGCTGAAACTAACTAGCTCCATTAATGGAATAAACCTACAAAAAGGTTACGAATAAAAATAAAGAATAAAATTGAAAATAAAACCTCCACCTTTTATCGGATAAGAGCAAATCATTTTCCAAATAAACTTAGATTGAATATTACTTGGTCTTAGCATAATTTATACAATGAATTTGCAAGATTCGGATAGAATATTGCAAAGTCATAGCATGTTCATACGAATAAAAGGATGAATGAGATATACGTTTTTTTTTTTCATGGAAAAAAATACATTATGCTAAGAATATTACTAAGTTAAAATAAATTACATATCTAAGAAGCTTAGGTTATATAGATAGAGTATCGAGTAACAAAAACAGCTTAACTTTTTGTCAGCTAATTGTCAAATTAGCTGACTCGTCAATCAGTGTTCTATATGCTTCCGGATACAATGTATCTTGACGTATTATTTAATAAATAAAATAAGTATTTACGCATTAAGAAAATGTAGAAATTATAAGACAAAATAAATATATAAGTTATAACTCATAACTATTTATCACGCAAAATTGTATGAAAAAGATGGCCCGCTTTTCTCGAAGCATTCATATGAGACACTCTATCTATATAATCTAACATAAAAACTTAGTAGATACCTACAGAAATATATAAGGGACTTTAAAAAATAAAAGTTTAGCTTACAGAGTTGGTCGTAAAGGTATATATACCAAACTGTAACTCAGCAACAGTATTAATGAACTGAACTAAAAATTAATCTAAAAAAGTTAGCAAAATTTGAAAATATTTTTCAACCATTCATATTAAATGGACCTCGTGACCATGTTGCTTGTTCGAATTTCAAAAGTTAATTTGAGATTTCGAACTTGTTCCTTAAGTTGTCTTAAGCCATTCAGTATTATGAATTCTATTAATGAGTTTCGACTTGTTCCGACCCATTATTAATTAAATTATGAATTCGAAAGTACGTATCTATATTTTTATACATATGTTACCTGATATCTAAGTCTTATAGTTTTTAATATTGTTTTTCAAACGATAGTATTTTTTTATACCACAAAAGTAGCAAACAAGGATAGAAGCCATCTGATGGTACACAGTTACTGTAAGCCTATGGACGCCTGCATCACTAGGGGTGTCTGGTGTGCGTTACCAACTCTGAAGAAACCTTAATATACCTTTTCTGGATAACCCTATACTGTAACCTCTATGAAAAACCTCAGCAGAGAGCACAATCCACATTTATTCCTGTATTAATCTCATGTTAAATGTTAACAAGATTGTTTTAATACTTCATATATAATTTTCATCATCAGCCGCCATTTTGTATTAACATTTCGAAGCAAGCCAATTTACATTTTCCAGTCATCTGATCTAATGTATAGGATACGTGAGTCTGCTTTTTATACAGAAATCGTGTCGCATTTCATTCAGAAAAAGCCACTATATCTGATACGAAACAATATTCACTTCAGTCGCCGACGTGACTAGAATAGTTACAGTTATTTGTTCTTTGAGAACTTTTAATGACTTGCAGAGTCAGAGAGTTTCTTCAAATCTGTCAAGTAAGTTCTTATAACCGGGGCGTACTGATTAACTGACATAATTAGTCGAATGTATCCTTCTATGTCTTTCTTTGTCCCGCTATATATTTCTCTGTCCTGCTATGACCTTCTCTATCCTGCTGAATATGTACACAATTTTTTTTTTGTTATGAGGATATCTTGAACCGTCGAAACGATGAGATAAGAATTATTAAACGAATGAATAAACCCACTTTTAGATTTATTATTAGCAATACTAGGCTTAATAAAGAAAAAGTAAATGGATATGGAGATTGAAATTTATTTATTTATTTAAATTCTTAAGGAAGCGAATTGGAAAACTGTCAAGCTCCCTTTATTGGTAAAAAAAAGTAACATATACCGCCCATGCTGCTAGATTACGTTCCCTTCCCAGTCTGTCGGTGAGATTCTGTCCTTAAATATTTTTTTAAAGTAGATTTAAAGAGCATTTCCTTTCTTTTTTTCTATTTTTATACATATATATGTGTGTGCGAGCGTGCGTGCGTGCATGCATGCGTTCATGCGTGCGTTCGTGCGTGCGTGCGTGCGTGTGTACGTGTGTGTTTAAGTATATATTATATATGTATGTGTGTATATATACGATTAAATATGATATAATTAGTAAAAGTGTAAACTTAAGTTTGTCTAGGTCTTCTTATCTGAAAATTGTCACAATATTATACACCCGCTGATACATAAAAATGTTTTTTTTTAAAAAGTCGCCGTGTGGCCCCTGTAATCCACTCCTTTCTTTCCCGTAGGTATCGTAAAAGGCGACTTAATGATCGAAGGATAAGCAGCAGCGTCCCTTTTAAGAGATCGCCGCAATGTAACTGCGGTTGCCGACCCGCCTGCCAAGCACGACATGTACTGGCAACACCTAACAAATAGGGATAGGCCTATGTTCAGCAATGGACAGTTTTTTTTATATCGCCGGCCCCGAATATTAATTTTCAGGATTTTAACATTTATTGTTTTTTCAACTTATGTAACTTATCGTTAACATTCTACATATAAACTGCTTATCTATTATTAGATTCTTAATATGAACTATCTATTCTAATTCCAATCTAGGCTACACAATGGACAGCTAACGGCAGATATGATGATAGTACTATTAGTTGAATCATACATTACACACATACATCATACATCATACATACATTACATAATAAACAAATTCGCTTTTATAATTTTAATATTAATAAGGATATCTTAATATAAAAAAATTTCGTATCCCATTTGATTAAAATTTGGTAAATGCAAATTGTTTGCTGCAAGTCGAGAAATAGTTTTTAATTAAGGTGTAATGGCTCTCACCGCCGAGAGAGTAATTCTTCTTGTGTTAATTCTAATAAATATACCTATATTAGATACAATAGTATATGCTCTATAAATATATAAATAAGTATTTACATATTAAATACCTTCAATATCTTTGTTATAAATCGAGTAATTAAACGCTAAACCACAACAGTAACAGTATCAAATTATTTTCAACCAACTTAAATAAAATGAAGTCCTCAATTCGGTTGTATTTCTTTATGTTTGTTACCTCTTAACTCTATTGTTCGTAAACGTAGGTTTAAAAACATCATTTTTTATCTGTAAAGATATGCTTACATATTTGTCGCATAGAAATTTTGTCAAAATTGGTCCAGGAGTTTAGTTTTTTAAACAAATTAACTGGATTTGCCACGGTTGAAGTCTTTTTTTTAACATAATCTTAAATTATGATTCATTTATTAATATAATTACTCGTATTGTTTCTGTTTAAAGATTAATTAAATAATGTAGAGCAACCTAAAACACTTCACCGCGACGTTAAATTAGATTTCTTTGTGGTCCAGCCGTGTTCGGGTGAAATGAAATTATTTCCCTAAATGTGTTGTGTTAGCGGTTTTACCATAGGTCTTTAATCTATTTTAGACATTAAAGGGCTTCTTAAATGAAACAGGTTTTCAATCGTCGTCATTTTTATGGCACAATACCTGAATCGACTGTGGTATTTTTTTTTCACAATCGATAGTATTTCTCTCGTGTGGGGCTCATAAATCACGGAATTTTTAAAGGAAACTTGGCTCGTGGTCGCGTTACAGTCGCTGATGACTAAGAATCACGAATTGATTCCGAAACTAGTCGAGTTTTTTTTTCAATCTAAATACACGAAAGTTAAACTGGTAGTTATTACATTAAAATATAATGTGTGCTTACGAAAGTTTTAACAATAAAATATAAAAAAAATTCTAGGTCAAAAAAATTAGAGAACATTTTAATGAATACTGACGCCAACTTTAATGAATGGGTTACATTAATTAACATACTGACTCTACAGTTAACATATTATTACACTGTGTATTTGTTGTTCGAAATTCAAATTTTAACTTATATAGCTGTGAAAGTGAGATTTTTCTGTTTATTATAATTGGACGCTTTATTGTCTTGACTAAAATAACTACGTAGTGTTTAATTAATTAAAATATTAATAGAAGTTACAGATAAACTGTTAATGAAACTATGTATAAATAATTTAATTTATCTAGTCTAGATACCAGAAATATATTTTTATTTCTTTATATTGAATTAAGTAGATAACCTAGCAAAACGAAAATCTTAATTTTCACCTTTTAAAAATTATTATTTTAATTTGAACTGAGAGTAACAAATAAGAAATGTTACGTATTAATTAATTATTGTTGAATAAACGTACTATAATTTCAGTGATATTTTGTCCGAAAATTACTCCACCTACGCCTGTCTCAAATTAGAATCTACTATCCATTAGATATTTCTTTATTTATTTAAGGAACACCAACAGCATATTGCATTATAATATATAGGTATAACAAACATTAATTATAATACAATATTAATGTACATGCCTATTATAGGTATTCACAGCATTTACTTTAACATAGTTATATAGTGCGAGAAAATGAAGTAATTATGAATTAAATAACACTAGATAGAAACTCTTTATTGTTTCCTCAATAAGATTACAATAGTAAACTTATTATAAATACAAACAATTATAAGATAATAATACACTTATTTATTTATTTACCTCTTTATTACACCAGAAACAAAAATATACAATGACAATTGAATAATTCAAGTGAAATACAGTAACGTAAATACAAATTGAAATATATACATAAAATTTATACTTAGGTCTACTTAAATTCATATATCGAGTACCATCCTTTTAACAATTGTGTCTATGCGCACGTTCAAACGACCCCATTTTATCTCGCTTTACTAATATCATGTACCCTAAACCCAAGTCACGTTACTCGTTCGTACATCTAGTGAATTTAGTATTTATTCCCTTTATACTTATAAATACTTTTGTACCATTTTCGTTTGTGATTGCCCACTCACTGTAATTGATAAAGGAACTCAAAGATTTTTAGCCAAACATAACAAAAGGACATTCGCTGTTCGATTGTATTTTTTACATTTATGTGTACCTCAGAACTTCGTCATTTAAAAACCGGCTTGGAAAACTCTTTTTTTTTAAAGAATATACTTCCAGTTTGGTCCTATAGAATTCCATCAAAATCAGTTCTGCAGGATAAATTAAACAATAAACTGCCTAAAATATAAATGGACTTTATTTTTATTATGAATAATTGTAATAGGTAGCTAACAGCTATTATACGAGTATAGGATGATTAGAAGCAGCAAAGAGCGAAGTGACAGTTTAATTACACTTTTTAAATTTTACTATTGTTGCCACGCGTAAAAATAAAAAATAAAAACTGCCTTGTTATCAAGTTGTCTTGAACAGATTCCATCATTTTTAAATAGAAATAACTACATTTTTCGTGTTACAATTCAGTGAGTTCTTTTTTATGGCGCTATATTTACTTGTAATCTTAACTTATTTACTGATATAAGTATATATATATATATATATATATATATATATATATATATATATACATACCCTTATATACCCTTATATACCCTTTATATTCAGATAATCTCTTCAAAATGCTGTGGGACTAGTTACAAGTTTGTTGGTTTTGTGTATTACAAAGCCAAAACACAGTCTCTAGAGATTGATAATGTAATCTGAGTTATAGTTAGAGGAACCTCACATATTATGTAGGCTTATATTATGAAGCCTTTTAGGCTCGTTTCTTAACCATTATTATAACTATGTCTTAAGGTCTTACGTAGGAAAAAAAGCATATGTTTTACACACTTTATTTCTATAAGTTTTTCCGTATCAACGTAACATTATTCTCAAATATTAATAAATACGAAAAGTAACGAATTTTCATAATTGGTAATTAGATAGCTGTATGCACCGAATTGGTATAAGAAGCTAGAATTTTTTTTAGTTTTAAATCTACTTCAAAAATAAGGAGGTTCTCGATCCAGATGTATTTTTTTTTTCTATATTTGTTACCTAAAAACTCTGCCAGTTATAAACCGATTCGAATTTTTTTATTTTTATGAAAGTATATATTTTCAAATTGGTCCCATAGAAATTTTATTAAAATCGGTTCAGTAGTTTGGTTTTTTAATGAAAAATCTGGTTTTGTCATAACTGAAAACTGATTTTTTTTGTGGAAAACAATTCTTAATTATTTGATCTATATTTCTATTGGGAAATTGTGCCATTTCACTGACAAATCCCTTAAAAATATTATAATAAAATATAGTTACATAAAAATCTACGGAAGCAATACAAGTATGTTCTAAATTACTTTAATTTCACCCTTTAGTTATATTTCTTTCGATATTACGCAGCTGAAAACATTAACTTATGGCCATATTTCACAACCAGGTTCCACTTACGTCCGTGGCGATCACCAGTGGAAACAGTGGTGATGGTGAGGCGGGTAACAGTCCTCTAAACAAGGGAAAAGAGCTTCAACCCCTACCAGCGGAGCCAATCACCTGATGCAGCGAAGCGGCGTGAATTGGTAATCAGTGTTAAGTCTTCGATGAACAAATCAGAGTGCTGGTGGAAACATTATGTGAAAAATGGATGACACAACAAATTAAATTACATATTTTTAAAATATCTAAAGACAGATTAGTGTGATGTAATGTATCTTTACACTGAAAAATTTTTGATTTTAGTTTATATGATATCACACTTGGATAATAAAATACCTTTATATTTAATAAGTTTATTGTACAGTATATACCTAAATATGTACTTAGTACATACCAGAGATACCTAATAATCTAGTTCACAATTGCTTACTTAATTATTTCGTTAATGATTATTTTTATTTATGATTTATAATTAATATATATCAAAGTAATCACTAAAGTTAAGCATCATTACGAATTATCCACTGTTTATCTTGTTTTTTTTATATACCTAATAATATTGTATTGTTTTATATGTGAATTTAATATTAAAGTATAATTGTTCCAATACACTGATCAATAAATATACATTTGGTAACTCTACGCCAAATGTTTATTTATTACTTATTTGCTAATGATTAGAGATTCATGAATACGTGGAAAAAACAGTTGGCCTGTTTTTTATGAAGCATTGTATTGAGACGCTATATATATATATATATATATATATATATATATATATATATATATATATATATATATATATATATATATATATATATATATATATATATATATATATATATATATATCTCTAAACCACAGCCCATGAACTCTTTCATTACTGGGAACGTTTGTGTGTAAACGTTTACAATCCTGAAGAAACCTTTATACCTAAGCCTTTTCTAAGAACCCTACGCTCTAGTCTCTTGAGAAAATCAAAAATAAACAATATGTTTAATCGCCATTGAAATACCCACCCTTCCTAGAAGTTAAACCAAAGAGCTAAAATGAAAACTTTTGCAGAGTTTGCGAAGTACTTCAGCACTGGCTGACATATTTAATTTCTCTGCTAATAACTTTGAAACATGAAATTAATATTTCAATAGTCCCTTAGTCCAAATATTGATAAAGTTGTCCTTATTATGCTTTATTTCTACTGCCTATTTCTCAATTAGAGTTTTGTGAAATACGCACCTAAGAAAATAGAGACGTGAACGAACTTAAAATCTCTGCATTTATTATATAGGCACGGAAAACAAAGTGCCAATGAAGCTCTACCCTGATATATATGTAGGGTATTGACATGTAACGGAATGACTGATGACTCAACGTCATATGCATAAATTGGAACGCAAGCTGCGAGAAAGTAGATATTCGAAGAGTTTAATTTTAGAATGCGATAAAGAATAAATAGTTTCCTACATTTATTTTTAATTTGTAAATCGAAATTAAATGCTGACTTTTGTACGTGATCTGATTCCAAGTTCAAATTTGACACGAGTCCAATTTGATTACAGTTTAGTACAAATTTTGTACTTACGTTTTGTAACGTTCCTATAATATATAGTGTTTACTTTTTGACTATTCAAAAACTAAATACCTATGTATTTACTTATTTAAAAAGTAAACATGGTCATAAAAATATTACTACACGATAGCAATAACAAAATCCTATATATGACAGATAAATGCGATCCAAATTCGATCTATTATTGAAAATTACACACTTTTGAGTTTATACGATGTACGATCGTCAGTTCGACCTAGAACTGATTTTAGTTTCAAAAGTACCGTTTGACATCTATTCAATGTGATTACGATTCGGTCCCAATTCGATAGAGTCAAAAGTCAGCCTGCTGACCAGTAGAAATGACTTGTTTCTAACTCCTCAATTCCGTATATATCTCTTACATCTCCATTTGCTTATAATGTCCCATACAAACACTTGACTTTTCTATTAAGCAATGTATGTAGGTTCGATTTACTTTATTCTCTTTGTATAATAATAATAATTATATATTGTCAAATAAAATAATAAATAATAAAAAAATAAATAAATAAACATCTGTCCTAAATATAGAATATAAATAAAACAGGCCTTAGAAAATGACGCCTTTTTTAAATAAATTTCAATTACATTCAAGTTATTAAAATTTGTCATTAATTTAACAAAATATATTTAAGATAATGTAAATATAATTTTAGGATAATATGTAACTTTTTAAATGTTTATATTTATAAGTAATTAATGAATTTTAGACATTATTTATAAAAATAATAAAAATTTCCTATTTAATTATCTGCAAATGTAAATTATTTATTTTTGTATATTTAATTATAATAAATGTCTTTTATAAATTATTGTGATATAATTATTTAACATCAGCACACAGAGTTTCAAGCAGTAACAAGAACTAACATCACATATGTGTGCATTATCATCACTATCCCGGCCATTATCTGTCCACTGCTGCACATAGGCCCCCATAGACTATCATAAGGAACAGTCCTAAGCCACCTACATCCACTGACTCCCTGCAATGCGTTTTAAGTCCTCAATCCATCGACTGGGAGTCGTCCTACACTGCGTTTTCCTGTCGGAGTCGTCACTCAAGAACCTTTCTTCTCCATCGGTGGTCGGTCGGTAACAGCATTGCATGTTAATAAATATTTATAACTAGCTTTTTGCCTGTTATTTCGTACGCATGGATTGAAGAAGTAAATAAACTAATAAAATATATCACTTGTAAATAGAAATATCAAGATAAAGTATATACCAAAACTGTTAAAACCGCATCTGATTTGATGTAGTAGTTTTTTTATAATGAGAATGTTTGTAGCAATATAATATGATTAAGATTGTATGTATATATAAAATGGTACGGCAAAACAAGTTATTTTGATTTAAAAACTAAAATACTAAACCGATTTTGATAAAATTTCTTACCAATTTGTAAGTATATTAGAAGGGAAGGGGATAGTTAGTAATGAAGACTAAGAGCCCTATTGCTAGCAATATAACCAGGTCGACCTCCCCGTGGTCTCCCCTGGAAACTATCATGCTTTCAAGACAATAGGCTAACTGACCTGCCTTTTTATTGTCGTTTATCACCCCTCACTGGTGCCCGCCAGCGTATACCGATAGCGTAGGCGGGGTTACTATTCCATTACCGTCCATTAAAAAAAGCATATTTTATTTCTTTAAATATCTCTCATGTACAGATATCGTCTAGTTACAATTTTATTATTTTATTTATTTATTTTATTATTAGTAAGATTAACAGTAATATCACGTCATATAGGTACTTACAAAATGTATAAGGTCAAATTGAGCATTTTTTTTTATACAACTTAGAATGCCAAACAAGCTGACGGCCCACCTGATGGGAAGTGGTAACCGTCGCCTATAGACATGAATAGCACCATGAATGTAACAAAACATGTTTTGCTCATGATACTCCCCATACGTTATCATTCCTGAGTACTCAGGTGTTATTCCTCTGTACCCTGTAAATTAACTTTTTTTTTTATATTATAGTCTTTTAAAAATACCTTATACGTATGAAAATTATAATAAAACATGTTCATAATATCCGGCAGTAGAAAAGCTGTTTCCGATTACGACATGAAGTGTGTCAGATGCATAATATCCTTAGACATATAGGCGCTGCACCCGTCACTTTTCACAATTAATCAAACCAGTGATATTTTAAACCGATTTAAAAAAAGAAGGTTCCCAATTTGTTTTTTTTTTGTTATTATTACCTCATAACTCTATCAATTGTCGATTTGGAAAATTCTTTTTTATGTGAATAAAATTTCTATGGTAGCAATCTGTAAATATAACTTACAGATTGATCGCAAACATATTTTATCAAATTCAGTAGTAATTTAAAATAACTAGTTTTACCAAAATTGAAGTCAGTTTTTTGTGAAACATAATCTTAAGTATTATGAAACAATATCCGATTTAATGTAATCATCATCATCATCATTTCGGCCATTATCCGTCCACTGCTGGACATAGATCTTCCCCATAAACTGCTATAAGTAGTCCTGAGCCACCTACATCAACTGCAATGCATTTGACGTCGTCTCTCCGTCTAGTCATCTCAGCCATTTAATATAACAATTGTGAAAATTTATAATAACGAATGGATATATATTTGTTACTCTTTCATACGAAAACTATTGAAAGGATTTGAGTAAAATTTAGTATACGGCTATATTTTATCCTTACTTAGCATGTAAAATAGTTGATATGCTGATTCTATGGCGATCTTAAACTTAAACATAAGTGAAAAATAACAATCGATTTTTTCATTTTGTTCCATATCTTTATTAATATTGGTAAAGCTTTTGTTAAACAAAAGTAAACTAAAATAAACAAATAAATAAACAAAAGTATGTCCCGACAAAGCTTTATTTAAGTTTCAGTCTAAAAGGTTTTAAATTGCATAACATTTCAGGAAGCATTGCTTGCGAGGATTAACGTGGTTCGCTCAAATAATACATAAATGCCTAAAAAGTGATTTGTTGAAATAATATTTCATGCGTACGCATTATACAAGAGTGTACGTATAAAATTACAAATATAAATAAAATTTATACTTGCATACCTACATCATACATATCTATCACGCCTGTCTCTCATTAGGGTAGGCAGAAACAATGGAACGTCAAATGTTTCGATTCAAACAGGTCTTCGCTTTTTCTTCCAAATATATACTGCTTTCTGCAGCTTTGCCCTATGTACTAGTATTAAAACACGTTAACATATCCATATATTTTGTAGTGATAAGTTAGGATTTAACCTTCCTGTATACCAAATTTTATTCACATCTGTTCAGTCGCTTAGACGTATTTAAATAACAAACATTCAAAATCTTTACCAACTTTCATATTGTAAAATTGTATATTAAACTTAAGTATGCTCCTTTCCACTCAGGGTTTGCTGGAAGAGAACTCTTACAGAGTTAAGCTCGCCTGTTGTACATCTTTATTTTATATATATATTATATGTTGTAATTTTTTCTGTGTACAATAAAGAATAAATAGAATAAATAAATATACTTAAATTAAATCGTAAATCCTTTCTATCTTATCCTATATTAACAAACGTAATTATATCTAAAAACCTCCCTCATATTTGACAAAATTAATGGCAATGTCTCGCCATAAAAATAAACCCATTCGATTAACGAAAGAATCAAAGTCGATTTACGATATCTAACTATTAAAGTGGAGTAAAATTAAAATATATACTTAATGACAAAATAAACAAATTTTGTTGAAAATATTGCTAAAATGCCCTGATGTCTTAATGAAATAATTACCATCTTTTTGACATATTTCTATTGGACATCAGCAGTCTGTCTTTTGCACACTTTATTGCACTAATATCACAAGACTTGTTGAAGAATTTTCAATAAGCATAGTATAGTACAAAAGGCGGTCTTATTGCTAAGCAATATCTTATCTCGCTTTAAGTGGAAGGAATTAAAGACTTTTTTAAGTTAATAAGAAAACTTTTGTTAAATTCTGGTGAAACAGAACTTATAAAAATATACATCATACTATATTTTTCCTATATTTATTATTAAAACAAACCTCTTTCACCTCAGACGGAATCGATCATTTAGATAAATTATTCCGTCAATCCTCATAAATCCATAGTAATTTTGGAAGCTGAATGTTATGCCACAGTAATTGTGAAAC